ATTCCTGGAGAACAAAGGGAGCAGTAGGACAAGTACAAAGGGATTTAATACTTTTAGGCTACTTGGGATGCTTTGAACTGCAGGTTCCTTAGACTGTGTGTCTACAGAATGTATTTCAAAGAAAATGGTGAATTCTGATGGGTCAATTTTGACTACTCCGAACTGTCAGACGTGCCAGAAATCATTATTGTATTTAGTATTGTTTAAAAGTCTCATTGAAACTATAATTTTTTTGAAGTTCCAGGATTTTTACAGTAACACTAAATCTACTGTGCCTTTTATTCACTTATATATTTATTTTTAATGTTTTTTAAATTTATCATCATAATCTTGTTTATATTACATTGAATCACATATAAGTTTACAGTGTATTACATTTCTTTTTCCAGAAGGAATAATTATTTTTAATGTTTTCATAGGAAAGCAAAAAACGCCGAGACCAATCCCAAGTGGTAAAATAGCTGCATATGCATTAGAAGATATGACAGGCAAGCAGGTGCTCTGGTGATTGAGGTGTGATTGAGGTGCTGGACGCCAGCATGGCCGACCCGGACTGGAGTTCCAGGCCTGGCAAGCTTGCTTCCTCACTTTCCCTCTTTCTCCGTCTGTCTCTGGTGAGTGCGTGTGCCCAAAGGCAAATTAATATAATAATAATAGCAAATAACATTAAATGCATATATTTTTTAAAAGTCCCCCACCCTCACTCCAAGCCTGTCTCCTGCCCCTGTGCCTAGGATCCTGAAGGGATAGAGAAAAAGAAAAAGGATTGCAGCCTGACCAGTCCCCATTGAGAGAGATGTTCCTGGGTCCCTCTCTCTTTCATGCTCATGTTCATGCTTTATCTCACACAATAAAAGACAAAAAAAAAAATGAAAGACATGACGAGATTACTTTAAATATATAGGAAACATTATACTTGTTTCTTAAGGTAGTTTTTTTTGAATAAAGATTTTTTTTAATATAAAGAGAAAAACAATACGGTACTCTGAAGATAGGAGAAAGAAAAAAGTTGGGACACTCAAGAAGAAAATGAGAAGAGACCATTTCCTTTCACTGAATTGTCTTCTCTGAACTTGTGACACTTAACTTAAGGAGAAACTCCAGAGCTGTTTTGCTCACATGATAAGTTTTCACAATTTTCCTTTAACAAATGCTTATCTGGTGCTTTTCATGTGCTAGGTACAGATCTAAATGTTTCACATTCAGTCAATCCTCAGAACAACCCTTTTACTCAGACAAGACGCAATTGAGTGACTTACCCCCAAATCACACAGGGAATGAATGGAAGAGCTGGAATTTAAACCCCAGTAACTTGTTCCAGAATCGTACCCTTAGCCACTTCCTAAACCACCTTCAGGTAAGTTTCCGAATCCATATTTTTAAGAACTCACTAACTTCCCATTAATTCTAAATTCTCAAAATTTCATCAACCTCCCTCCCACCCCCCAGTTCTCATACCAAACGTTCTATTTTTTAATGGTCCAAGACTTTAACTACAAAGTTAATTTGTAGTTAAAAAATTCTTGTGGTTTATTTTGCAACAGGTCAATGAGTCACTTGGAATTCTTTACAGATTTTGCAGTTTACATTTTTCTTTCTTGAGAAATATTGCACAGACACTGCTGGCTTTATATGTAAAGGTGACCATTGCTAGAAGGGAAATTAATTGTTTGCTTAGGTTAGCTATGAGTTATTATTAGTAAATTCCATTCTTTCCTTTAATCTACTTTATTTCCTACATCTTCTCTCATGTGTTATTTTTTTAAATTGAGCAACATGTGCTTCAAAAATTAGGTAATAAGCCTATGAATAATTATCACCCCATCATTGATGATTTCATTTGTATCATGAATAGTCTGTGAAATAAAATGTTCAAAACAATATGTAGCCAAGTTATCTGTGTTTGCAAAGTTTTTTCGGGTCAGGGACCACAAATCCAGGATTTTCTCATTCATTCATCTTCTAATTAATTACAACCTTTGGCCACAAGGATGCTTTTTCTCTACCCGTTCTGTAAATACTAGTGCTTCTGTGGCTTCAGTGCTCAGACTTCTCCTCATCTTTCTCTATAGTCATTCTGTCCTATGACTTTACTACCTGTTCCAAGCAGGGCCAGTCTCATGAATTTCTGGACAATGTATCTGAACAGGATTCCACACTCAGAAAGGCCTAATGCTTGGGGTTTTAATGATGCTGTTGCCATCTTGAAATTCTTGTGTAAGTGTGGAGGGGTGTTTTTTGTTTGTTTGTTTGTTCGTTTTGGGCAGGATCTTGCTCTGTTGAGATCCTCTTACTTCAGCCCATCCCAAGTAGCTGGGACTACAGGTATACCCCACCCATGAAACATTTTAGGTTGAGCTGAGGATCAAGCTTGGGCCTCCCATGAGTCCTTGGCCTGCCAGACATCAGCAACTACAGCATGCTACTATGACTGGGTCTTGAAGTTCTTAATAGTATTATCTTTGAATTTTATGCTTTTATCTGAGGGGACAATTATACAAGGGAGCAATGGAGTGTGCCTCAGTTCATGTGGACTCCTTCCTCCTCCTACCTTACCTCTCTGCCTCCCTGGTGGGGGTGGGAGTTCACCACTCAGTTCCTGCATTCCCTGGCACCTCAGCCCTGATTGTTCTCCTCTCCAAACCCAGCCCTGCAACTGATGGGAGGGGAACCTGGCAACCAGTAGGTCTCATGTGCTCTTTGAACAAGAGATTCTATATTTGCATATTGCTCTGGGCTCTGAGAATTGTATAAATGGCTCTGATTCCATGATTTTTGTTTCCAGCCCAGATCTCTCTTCTGTATTGCAGATCTGTCTACATGGTGGATGTCTCCACTTAGATGTATCTTACATGTTACAAATTTAGCAAGTCCAAATCTACTTGTATAATCTCTGTTCCAACCTATTCCCTAAATCAGGGAAAAACATAAATTAGTTACATAAACCAATAATTTGACAGTGATTTAAATTCTTTCCACTCTCTCTTAAACACCATACTCAATTGCTAAATGCTGCTACATCAACCTTCTGGCTATCTTAAAGACATCCTACATGTGTTATCTAATGCTGCATAGCATGACACTGTAGTAATGGCCAAAAGAGAGTAAGCAATTAAGACATGTAGATCACTGAGGAATCGGAGTTTTAGGCAGAAGGAAAAGCAAAAGTTCCAAGGAAAACAATCAAAGCGACCTTGATCTTGCGGTAACAGATCACCCTGAACTTTGGAGGTTTAGCACAGCCACAAACAGGTATTATCTCTCATCTCTCTGTGGCTCAGAGATTTAGAAACAGAATAATCAAGGGCCTGTAGCTTGGCTTCTCTCATAAAGTTGTAGTCAAGATGGCAGCCAGGCTGCAGTCATCTGAAGGCTTGACTAGAGTTTGACACCTGCTTCTAAGAGAGTTCATTCTTTTGATGCTACTTGACAGCAGAAGCCTCAGTTTCCTCCTCTCTAAAAAAGTCTCTCCAAAGGATGCTTGAATGTGTTCATATCATGATCCCATCCATGGAAGTCACCATGTCCTTTATGACCTTGTCTTGGAAGTCACCTATTGTCA